ATATTATTTTCTTTAACAAAGAGTAAGAATCCTTTCCGTGACCACATCCTCTGAAGCACATCAAACTCAGAAGTGATCTGAAACAAGTATTTGAACTACAAGATCTCAAGACTTTCTCAGAAATAAATAAATAAGTACACAAATGTTAAAATAGAAAAAAAAAAAGAATTTCTCAGCGAAGACTACAGTCAATTTTTAACAAAGAGCCCTTGAGAAGTCCCACAACTGGCCACTTATTGCTTATTTTGACAGAATTTTCAAAAAGAAAAAAGTTCTATAACATGTAATATGTATAAATATATAAAGTATTAATCATACAATATTCCACATATATATTTATAAAGATATATAAATGTACAAATATTATAATATATTATATATAAAAATAACTATATAGACTCAAAGAACCAAGCACTTGGAGGACTTTAAAAGTAGTCCTCTATTTAGGGAGATAATATTGAGAGTAAACTGTGCTCTAAATCACCAGAGCATGTGTGTTCAGGGACATTCAAAATGAGCAAATAAGCCAAGGTTGTACTACACAGCTCCGGATCATACAGAACTTCCTTCTGATAATAATAATATAAGGAAATATCTACTTAGACTTTAATATTAGAAATGTTCCCATAGATATGAATTAATTTGTTCTCGAAACTGTAATGTGATAAAAGCAAGGTAAACATTGTCCACTTCACACACAGAAACCCGAAATATAAACCTCCAGTGACTTTCAACCATTTTTCTCCTGGGAGTCACTGAGAGATGGCTGAGTTAAGATTCTAATGATATCCTGTCCACTGCCTTTCCAACACCAGTAGAGTGCTGTCTACTCCCGAAAGTACAGGGAAAGTCCTAGCAACAGAAGGGAGAAAGGAAGCCGCTCTTTCTCAGTTTGATGGGAGTCTAAGAACAGAGACAGGGCCGAGGAAACCAGCATCATTAAATTCAGGCAAGCCTCCACGCACACACACACACACACACACACACATACATGCTCTGTGTGTCTTTTCTCAATTTCAGCTCATACTCTTCTATTTTTTACGTCTCCTTCTAAAGGCACATTTGGAGATGAAACCATTCATAAATGCCCATCCAGAGACAGTTTGTGGCAGCATAATTGACAATGAGTCTGCTGCAAAAAAATGAAAATGCTGTTTTAATAACCTTGGTCTAAAATACATTTTGTTGTATGCCTCAAAGGGTTTCAATAAAAAGTCAACCTGTACAGACATATTTCCTTGGCTTAAACAACAATCCAAAGCATATAAATGTAGTCCAACTATAATGACATATTTATAGGCCAATAAAGCTTACACTGCAGCTTTCATACTTCGCTTAAAGAAACTCTGTAAGAAGCAGTGTTATATAAAATAATTTGATTTTTTAAAACTATAGCCCAAGGAATAAAAAATGCAAGTTTGCGATGTTTCACTGATAGTATTTATATTCCTTAGTTGCCAAAAATTTTGTAAAACAAAATAACCCTTCATTTGACTACTTCCAACTGCCATACCAAATATGGGTATCAAGTCCACTTTATTATAAAAGCTAAGTACTGTAATTCTAAAGACAAAAATAAATAACTAGAGGCTTGTGTAGTGAATGATTTAATCAACCTGATTCTTCTGGAAAAACAGGTTCTTGTATTTGTTATGCTTATGAATAATACATTCTTTAACCCCTTTATTTTAACATAGTTATTTTTCTTTTCTTTTTTAATAAACTTCAGTATTAAATAGTTTCAAGAAAGTAAAACATGTCACTCAGTGAAGTCCCCATTTGCATTGGTTTCATATTGAACTAACTTTCTTTGAAAAGGACAAAGAGGAGGGCAGAAGATGAATGTACTTTACCACATCTTAGAAGTTTTTTTTTTTTTTTTAAAGATTACTAGTTGTTCCAAAATCCAAATTTATAGTTTTAGTCAGGAGTCACTTAGGGTCTTAAGTAAAGCTGCAAAGATTTTTAAAAACACAAACAGTATATCCTCAAATCTTGCACAAATTTTCTCTTTTAAGGAAGGAAAGGATAAAAATTAGAAGAGTATTTGCATCAGAGCAGTTATTGGAAGCTTCCATTTGGGGCAGAGTTTCTCTTTGTGACTATTACATTGCTGGCAAATACACATTTGTGAGAACATTTTTGTTTTTTTACTATTCAGAGAGAGACAGGAAGTGACACAAACTGGGATTAGAGGGAATTTATTCCATCTAAACACAGAGCAAGAAAAGTTCTTTAATTAGCTTTTATATTTTAAAATCCCTTCTTTAAGAGTCAACCTAATTCTTTTGTTATTATTAATTTTTTTAAACAGGATGAAATAAGTTAGTTTTTTTAAATAACATGTTGGAATTTTACTTTATCCATAGAAAGGTGAGATTTTTCCATTCTTGCTTCCAGCAGCAAGAGAAGAGGAGGGTTTTAAGTAATCTCCCAGTTCATCTTTCTTTGGTAAGAACAATGAAGGGTTGTAAGGAAGGAAAAACCTAATAAGTGTGTGAACATCCGTGAACAATGTGATACTAGAAGTGGTTTTAGTGTGGCCAAGAGAAAAAGAGATAAGGAAACCATTGTAGAAAGAAAAGTACAGACAACAAATATTTTGATGCTACACAGAGAAAGTAAGAGGGTGAAGAGAAAGTTGGTGGGCTAGGAGAATGTACAGGGACACTCCCTCTCTCCTGGTATAAATTCTGACAATGGTGACTTGCAAACTTTAGATCAGGAAGATAATGGAAACTCATTACATTAAGGAAAGTTTTTGTTTCTCTTTCCACATTATTACAACACAGAGTGCATTCCAATTACAACAGCTATTTGTCTCAAATTCCCCACAGTTCATACCAACTGAGTAGAATTACAAGGCCCTAAATTCTATCCTTAAAGGGGTATTTTGCATTAAAAAAAGAAAAGGGACATAGTGTTTCTTGCCCATGAAAGCCTCCCAATCTAGTCTTCTGTTGATTACTTCTTTCCTCAGCACTCATCATAGAGCTGTCTCCCAAGTGAGAAAAAAACAAACAAAAAAAACCCAAAATAAAGCAAAACAAAAAAATCCCAATCACCTACTAAATCTTTTATCTGTTCACATTCCTTGGCCTTGCCTCTCTCCACCAAGGAGAATCTGGGGAAGCTAGACTTAGTAAATTCCCCCACTTAGTCTAAACAGCAACTAAATTTAAAAATTATAAATCTCTAGATTTTCCAGACCAAACCATCTGCAAGTACTTTGAACATTCACTATAAACCCATTTCTTCTAAAATGAATTGCAAAAAAGTAGATAATGAACATTTTTTACAATTCAAGAAGATTAAAATCTCTGTATCTTTGATCAAAATAAGAAACTGGGTTTCTTTTTGTGTTCATTAGTAAACTATCCCTTTGAAACATGAAACAACCCTGCTATAAATACTCTTGTTTATGAGTGTGACATCAAGCTTAACCATCTACACATCCTTTTGTTCCCCCATGGGTTTCCTGTTTAATTTTTTATTAGTAACAATATATTCCATAACTCAAAAAATGCAAGCAAAGAAAGGTTTTAATGTTAAAGAAAACATAAGACAATGACAGTGTAACTTAGATCATGCATTAGGAAGGCAACACAGATATATTATTTAGAAGTTTCACATATCATAAGAGTAGTCATTGTGTGTTCACAAAATTAGGGTATGTGACATTATATGTAAGAAAACTATAATTTTTTTCTAGAGAAGGGAAACCATTAGTCTAATAATTTTATCTAATTGTACACATAAAAATCAGAGTGCCATGTCCAAAATATTAGATGTCTGACATCTAGCAAAAGATGACAGGAAATTGTTGACTGTCAAATTGCAACAAAATATTAATTCTATTCCCAAAACACAGCACAGCTCATCACAAAACAGAAATCCTCAGAAACCTCTCACAGTCAGTTACTGGTGTTATTCAGTTTCTTTCTGCCAATTAAAATAAATCATCTGGGTTTCTTGTAATAGTTAAGTTCTAGGTTAAAACAAAAAAAACAGGAAGTTATCACATTAAAGCATAAAATAGGGCTACGAAAATCAGCATTGTGCTAGAGTGAAAGAAAAAGATGCCTTAATATGTTAAAAATGAAGTTCCTCTTTGTCTAAGGAGGAAATATCTGGTCTAAATAAGAGATCAACAACTTTGGTCTTGAGCAATACCCGTAGAGTAAGACAGTAAAGACCATAGCGGGATACAAACAGAAGGAAAAGAACAAGGAAAGGACACAAAAGTCACTGAAGAAGGAAGTGTTAAAGCAATAGAATTCATTATGGAGCCCCTCCCGCCTGTCATCACTGTGGTAGCTCCTTAGACTCACAATGACTTTATTTTTACATGGGGAAACTGAGGTTAGAGGTTAAATTATTTGCCTAAGGCCACACAGCTAAGTGCTAGTGTTCAGACACTAATCAGAACACTAGAAAGCCTAACTATGAATGATGCCAAGGCCCAAGTTCTTATACTTACAGTGCAAGAGGAGAAAGGAAAGAAAAACCAAGGTAGTTGACCACAGATAGCTGATTTAGGTGACTGCTGAATGTCAAAAGCTCAAGGAAATCTATGCCACAGTTGCCACTAAATGGTTCCCCTACCCTAAGGTTGTTTCTCACTGAGCTTTCTATCCAACATAGAATATGAAATTCTGACATGACATGATGTAACACTAACTCCTTGTAGCAAGTACTTACATTTTTCATTAATCCAATTTTAGGTGCCTTAATTATGCCACACAATGTAACACTCAGTACATAAGTCGATATACACAGAAGTCTCTGAGATCCAACAGGTAATGCTCATCCCTTGTCTACAGGGTTGCTCTTCATCCCTTTAAGGGTAAAAAAATGTGTGTGTGTGTGTGTGTGTGTGTGTGTGTGTGTGTGTGTGTGTTTGTGTGTAATTATATGATAGGTTTCCAGAAAAATCTACAGCAAGAAAAACTTACTATATACGCTCACACATTTGGTTTAGAAGCGTGACTAGTACTTACCAAGGTCAGCCTTTTCCTTGAGAACGTCTTTGAAGTTGAGTCCACTGTTGAGGGTGGACTGTCTGTACTTCAGCAGAGCTTCCTTCTGTCCATTTCTTCCCAAGACTTCCTTTTTCACTGGCCCAGCCTGGAGACCACATCTCCACTTGGAGAAATCAGAATGTACCCACTTGACCAGGTCTTCAAGCTTCACAATCACTTTTTCAGAAACAGCAATGACTTCATCCTACAAGAGATGAGATGGAACAAAAATACATTAGTTACAGGTTTAGTTACAGGTTTAGGTAAAGAGCACAGTCTCAACACCTGTGCCCCCTGAACTGCCATGTGGATGCTTTAACCTTAGCAAGTAGACTGTGGTTTTTGGTATCCAAGAATCTCTGATAACCATTTCACTGGTTTCTCACTGTTGGTTATTTAAAGAATAATTTATAGTATATATTTGTTACGGTTATAAAGTATCCAAAAATAGGGTAGTAATTCTATTGCCATTTTGAATGCTGTGTGCTAAGCTCCCTCTACCGATTTAACTACTGGGTGAAAGCAAATCTTTAGGTGCAATTAATTACCAATGTGAAAAGTGAGGGCTAGATGACTAATGGTTTGCCTGTCTCCATATAAATGTTCTAAGTAAATCTAGGATTCTTGGAACTCTGACTCACCCTAAAATTCCTATGTTTATGGTACATTTTCCCTTGGCTTATACACAAATATTGAATTTAACTTTTGTCCTAAAAATTAAATAAAACTGTGATGTAATCCCAAAAGAAATACTTCATAAATGTTATGGGGTTCCCACTGAAAGAAACTTACACATTCTCATGTTTCTCAAAATCTTTGTAAGTTGAGAAATGAACTGAGTTTTTCTTTTAATACATATGGGGTAGAGGGTGAGAGGGCGAGTGAGGAGAAAATATTTGAAGCTAAGAAAAGTAGTTGAAACTTAAGTTCCTCCTATGGACCATAAATTTGAATTTTAAGCATCTCTAATTGCTTCCAGGAAACAGCCAACTTTCTGCTTCAAAATAATCCAGCAAGATATTTAATAGATATCCACAAATGGAACAAAGGGAGGCCCCCTCACCCAAAAATTCTTTGGAAAAGGATTATGAAGATCATCTCACTGGGTTTTGAGTTAAATTATTTGAAGAATTTGGCATTTCAACTTGAACTGACTTCTTTCATTTATTTTATTTCATATCTCTGAAGAAAGCTTAGCTGTGAAAACCCCTAAGCTTGCAAAGTCTTAGAAATATTTTTGCCAAAACAATAACAGGAAGATGTCTCTAAGCTATTAAACAAAAGGAATTCACAAGTGATTTTGGCTAATTTTGCTGTTAAACATGACTCTTTCCTCCTTCCTCCACCTACACACCCATACATGCACACTCAACCCCCGCACACATACGTCACTCTACACACTACTCCAAAGAAAAAAGGACTTACTAAGATAAGCTTCACATACAAAAAAAGCCCTAGATTTAGTTTTTAAAAATATTTGAAGGTAGGATCTAGGATTTCACTTTTTCTCACTCAGTTCCAACCTGCTTCTGAGAAGGTTTGTTAGGCAGCAGCAAAGTAACAAATACTCCATCAAAAATGAAAGGTAAAATTTTGGTAATGGAATCCTTTCTCTTATCATGATCAAATATGAACTTCCAGTAAAGGGGAGACAAAGTGGAAACTGTTTTGTCCTCTCCTCAAAGAATTTTCAATACTTGATAAACAATGGGGCTTATTACAAAGTACCATTTCAACAGATGATTTCACCCCGACTCACCACACCACCCTCTTGAAATAGATCTGTAGTAGTCATGCATTTTATAGCTATTACATGGTGATTATTAAATGTCAGAATAAAAATTCAGCAATTCAGGGTATTGTTTCCAGGCACATGGGAACAGCTTCTGGACAAGGCATGCCAGAAATGGAGTTTAGAATGTACTGGAAAATAATTAAGCAACCTGGTATATCAGTCTCAATTTTAGTGAAGATGGAATTTGGCAACATTTTGACCAAATAAGGTTTCCTAGAATAGACAAGTTTGGAGATGAGTGTTATTTTCAAATAGCTCTATGATCAAATGATTATCATTTGAATTACCAGTTGCTTCAGATCTTTTCCAAGAAATGGCATGACTAGTTCTGGCTGGCTTACAACACTGGCCGAACAAATAGTTTATTAACCAAGAGAAAATGCAGTCCTTATGATGTCACCAATGAATAAACTTATCTTTCATGATTTAGTCTATAGATTTTGTTCTCTCTCTTCCTCTCCCTCCCTCCCTCCCTCTCTCTCTCTCTCTCTCTCTCTCTGTCTCATAGAAATTCCCACAAACATGTAAACTCTGAGCCCTGAGCCCTGAGCCCAAGCGTACATTAATTGTGAAACCACCAGCATGTTTTACTGTGGCTTCACAGAGAAACTGGCCCTGCAACAATGTCAAATGCCAGGATTTAAGAGGAAATCTGATAAGCAGAGGAGGGGAAAAGAACAAACCGACCCAAATGAACAGAGCAGCCAACATATATATAGAAAACGTCTCAGGAAATATTACTTTGTGAGCACAATGGCATAAATCACATGTTCATATTTACTATTCTGAGTGAGTTACTGACTACAGTTCCAAGTATGTACCATTCTTGGGCAAGCATCTATGTCTATGAAAAGAATTTCAATAAACTCATCTCATGATTATATTAGCTCTCTGCAAACTGAGAATTAGCACTGGATAAATATTGCTGATTCACTCTAATAGAACACAAAGGGAACACCAAGAAATATACTTTGTTATTCTATCAAAGTACCTTGACTTTTCAATTAACCCAGCTCTGGATCAATATTTATGTAGGCCATGTTAAGACACTTTCTAAGTCCTTATCTCCTATTATCACTGTTTTAAATTATTTCTGTAATTTAGATTTTTGTTCTTACGATTTTACAAAAAGAGCTAATTTAATCATGGATCCTCGAAGTCAGAGGCTATAATTCAGTCAGAAAGTCACAAACTGTCTGGTCCATGCATGTGGCTAGCCCTTTCAAATGTTCTGAAAATTTGAAATTTTGCACAAAGCACCCAGACTTCAATTTTTTCTTATAAAATAAAGAACAAAAATAACCACCCAAAAGAAGAAAAAACAACAACAACAAAACAAAACAAAACTTGTAACAGAAACCACTTGAAACCCAGCACAAGATGCCTTTAGACAAGACGTAAAATCCCCTCCAGTCCCTACAGCACAGTATTCAGCCCACTTTTACCTGACCTGCCTGGTCTCTGTGTAGGGATTGGACATTCACATTTAGGCACGCCAATTCCTTCGGCCTCCCTCATGTTATCAGTGAGGGCGGTAAGGTTCAGGGATGCATCCAAATACCAAGTTATGGCAGGACTTGGATTCAAGACCTGTACTGTCTACCAGTACAAGAGCCAGAGTGCCAGGGTTCACATTCTAACCCTGGAATGTAGTTGCGGTGGAACACTGGGGAAATACTGTATTCTCCTTGGGCTTCCATTTTCTTTTACATATATAAAACAAAACAAAACAAAACAGGTCATAATAACTGTCTACCTCTTATAGTAGTTGTCACGATTTGATGGGTTGACACAAATGAAGTAGTATATCAGTCATTATTTCTCTATGTGGGTGTTTTCCAAAGTGTGGCATGCAGAGATGAATTTAGGCAGTTCATATGTAAACTTTTTATATATATTTTAAGTTACTCACTGTTATTTATTTTTGTGGTTACTGTCTATTTATGGGAAAGTGGTACTGGTTTTCTATTTATAGGAGCTATAGAAAGTTCCTTTTTAAATAGGTTTGTTAAAAAATGGATCAATTTGAATAAAACTATTAAGTAAAACACAGGGGACAGGAGGATGTAGCGGGAAAAAAGGCCAAGGTGCTATAAAACAAAACTAAAATGTAGGCTAGTGTTTTATATTGGTAAGTCTCAACGTATACAGCCCCAGCAGCCTTGGAAATGCCTGAGACGGAGGTCCACAGAGTTAAAACGGTGATCAAAATCACGTGAAGATATTAGTGGCTTTTTTCACTCTTGTTCTCTTTAAAGCTTATAGTGGGGTTTTCCAGAGGCTGTGACATGTGGTATCATAACAGAATAACTGTAGAAGCAGATGAGAGTAAAGTTCTCTATTCAGCTAGACGGTAAAGAGATTTACAAAAACCATAAGACTATTCTACTGTTTTCACTGATTTGGTTTTTGAGAATATAGTTAATCTTCATAAAAATGTGCTACATATTCATGATGGGCTTGTATTGCTATTTTAATTTTATTCTTTAAAATAACTTTCTTAAGATTTTCTATTTTAGAGAACAGCTCCACGGATGGTCATATAGCCACCACCGTCAGTGCAAGCATCACATGCAGACCAGTCCAGCACCCTTGAAAGCTCCATGTACTACTATTTGTCATCGTCCCCCCCACCCCATCCCCAACTTCTGGCAATCTCACTCTTGATGTAGTTTTCTCTTTCTTGAAATGTCATATACATTGAATCATACCTTGTGAGACCTTTTCAGACTGTTTCACTCAGTTTGATGTCTCTGAGATCCACCCATGATGCTGGGTGTATCAGCAGTGTGTTTCTTTTTTATTTCTGAGTGGTATGTCCTCCTATGGGTGGCTCCCAAATATTATTTATCTATTACCCCACTGAGGGACAAAAGGATGACTCAATTTTTGTGATTACAAATACAACTACACACAAAGGTTTTTAGGTAGACACATATTTCAGTTCTGTAGGGTTAACACCTAGAAGAGTGATTGCTAAATCTTCTGGTAAGTGTATTCAAAATGTTTAGAAACTGTTCAACTGCTTTTTCAAGTAGCCATCAATTTGGCATTCCCACAAGCAATATGTGGGAGTTCTAGTTGCTCCTCATCCTTATTAGTGCTTGATATTGTCACTGCTAATTAATTAATTAAAGCCACAATCTAATGTGTACATGATGATTTCTCATAATTTTTAATTTTTTTGTTTCCCTAATGCTGACAATATCAAACACCTTTTAAGGTGCTAATTTACCATCTGCATATCTTTTTGATGAAGTGTGAGTTTAAATATGTTGTGCATTTTAAAAATTGGGTTCTTGCTGACTACTGTTGAGTTGAGAATTCTTTGGGGTCAAGTCTTTTGTCAAGTATATGACTTGAAAACATCTCTTATCTCAATTTGTAGCATTCTTGTTATAATATGTTTC